TTGATTTGAATATGTTTCATTTCAGACGAATTTTGTAAATACGTTCTTTCACTCGAATTATATATACACGTTCCATATGAATATCGTAAATGTTTTACGCAAATGTATTTTAACTCATATATATATTTCAACTTTATTTCGTGTTTTCAGACAATGATTTCGTTGCAACTGGATGGAAGCTCTCTTGCCCAGCGAGCCAATGGAAACAACTAGTCTTTGTTGAAAAAAGAACAGAAATGAAGGTGTTCTTTAAGGAGCTTTGGAAAGAAAGAAACAAAGGAGAGAGAGAGAGAGAGAGAGAGTGAGTGAGTGAGTGAGAAAGAGAGAAGGAGAGAGAGAGAAAGAATATGATAAACCTCCGACCGTTTTCGAGGCTGTGAAGAAGAATAAATACTTATGAATTATGAAAATAATCTGGATAAAGTTGCCTTAAAAAGAATTATGTAAAAATATAGCCCATAAACCCATGATATTTAAAACTGTAGATACGATACCTATGACAGAGATATCAAAAATCAAAAATGTTTAAGTTTGCCTTATAGAAATTCTAATTCTAATCGCTCTTCCATTGCATATTATTTTTCTTCTTTTTAATATAGAGAATGTATGTGAGGACAAACTATTATATACACTCGCGTGTGTTTGTGTGATATAGTCCGGTAGAGAAGACACATTGCTTTATCAGTGTTGGAGTGTTTTGTAATACAAACTGCAGTCAGTGTAAGAGCAACTATTTCTTATGAACTGTCGTATTTTCCAGTGATATGCAATATTTTGTCGACATGTAAGAAATACAAGGTGCTTTTGCCATATTTACTATTATATAACATATATAACCTTATATACATATATATATATATATATATATATATATATATATATATATATATATGTATATATATATATATATATATATATATATATATATATATATATATATATATATATATAATATATATTATATATATGTATATATATATATATAATATATATTATATATATATATATATATATATATATACATATATGAACAATAATGTAAAAGAACGAATATTGTTTCAACTTTAGACGATTTCAAGAAAACGACAATATAATTGTTGATTTCCAATTACTGCATCGCTTCTTATGCTTTACTTTTCTAAGTCATCATTGATAATTATGGTTGTACAGATGTTGATTTATTTATTTTCAGTGTATTTTGTATGCATATGTGTGTGAACATGATTTATCTACTGAAATAAATCCAATAAAATCAGAAATATGAGAAAAAGGCGATAAATCTGATTTATCGTCGTATGTGATTCTTCCCTTTTATTAAGTTTCCCCTCTTACACAATGCGTGGATTATCCTGTAGAGTGGAAATGTGTATATTACTAGTTTCTCAGTATATTTTTTTTTGTGTCCTATATTTGTACTATGCTGAAGCAGAGAGATAAAGAGAGAGCAAATGTATTATAAATGTTCGTGTTTGTACATACATGCAAATGTAACAGTATGTCATCCTTTAATTTTGCAATTCAAGGTTATGAGCAGAAATTAACTCACTAAGTACACATGAGCCGCGATGTCTATTCTATTTTTAACACGTGTGTGTGTGCGTTTGTGTGTGAAACTAAAAATCTTGCTACGTGAAGGTATACCATAGCAATACAACTATTTTGAGTTCTGGAAGACAGACGGGGGAGCAAAAACGGTGTTATCTACATCTGATGGACTGATCAGCTGTAGCACCGACTTTGGCGAGTAAGAAAAAGGAAACTACTGGATAAGGAATTGCTTGCCAATGTAAAGTGTTGTGCAGAGGGCTTGATTCTTGGGAAATTAACTTGAATGTTGCTCATGTTCTGTGCCTAGGAAAAACAATGTGTTTGTGTTTTCTTCTTTTTATTTTCTCTCTCATTTCTTCTTTTCTTTCTTTTATTACTTCTACTTTCAGTTTTTCCTTTCTTTTTCGTAGTTTGTTCTGTACTGAATCATACACTGAACCTTAATACACCTAGTCAATTAATGCACTAACTCTACTTTTTTCCAATATACGTCACAAATCAGCGTTTCAGTCTAAAGAAATATATACGGGATTTCTACAGAGTGTTCGGAAATCCTAAGAAAGAGTAATATACATAAGAGATACAATGGATAAATTAACAAAGATTTTGGGGACGATGGTTCAACCGAAGAACAAATGTCACTGTTGTATTACAACAAAAAATAAAAGGTGAAAGTAAAAGAAATTAACAGATTTCGTTTGAATATTGAATGAAAATTGGTTTCCATATCAGAGAATTAGAAATAAATCTACACTATGCTATGACATGCTACACAAAAACATGATAAAGTATAATACCAGAACATGAATTGACATTCAGAAATATTATACTATGCTATACAGCATCATTAATATACCATATTCAGAAAACATTCATATCAAAAAATATATGCACCATGCTATACCACAATATACAATCATACCATATTATACTATAATATACATCATACCATACCATACCACAAAATACAGCATACCCTATTCAGAAACATTATAGGACATGTCATACTATACATTGTATCATATCTAAAATTATATACCATACTGTTCACAGGAATTTACAAACACAGATCAGGAAGAAATAAAGAATAATTATGCCCGGCGAACTAGATATGATATAATGTAAAACAAATATATGAAGAAATCAAGTATAGTACAAATTCAATTGCAATACAAATGCAATATGACAAAATTAAATACTGGCTAAGAAAATAATTTATCAGATAAATACAAGGTACAGTACAAATTCAATTGCAACACAAATGCAATATAAGACAAAATTAAATACTGACTAAGAAAATGATTTATCAGAAAAATATGAAAAGAAGAGAGAATGACAGACTACTTAGCATATTGCATCATGTAAGCTGCATGCTGTTCGACGCCGTGTGAGTGACCTTGCATGGGTGACCTTGCGTGGGTGACCTTGCATGCGTGACCTTGCATGGGTGACCTTGCGTGGGTGACCTTGCATGGGTGATTCCAAATATACACCCCACGCCACGCTTGCACGCCCCGCCCATCACTTGTCAGTGATATAAAGCGACCCAGCTTGACCTCTGTCTCAGAGACACTCAGACAGACTCTTCATACGGTCAGACGTTGACCTGCCTCCCTACGTTACCACCGCCCACGTCACCTCCTTCTCCAGGGTGGGCGGCTGCTTCTCCAGGGTGGGCGGCTGCGGATACCAGTCTCGTATCGTGTTTATTTCTACTTGTGTGTGTAACTCTCAGCAATAAAGAGTTAAGCCGTAATGGTAGTATCTATCCTGCCCCATCAGTGTTAATTTAGAAGGTTAATCCCCTTTTTGAGAAAGAGAGAGAGGGGAAAAGAGACAGAGACAGACGGATATACAAAAAGAAAGAGGAAAAGACAGATAAGAGAGAAACACACACACACAGGGAGAGGGAGAGAGGAAAAGAGACTGACAGATAGACAAAAAAAGGAAAAGACAGAGAGAGGGGAGACAGACAGTCAGAGACAGAAAAGACAGACAAAGAAACAGACATCATCGAAAGAAAGGGAGAAAGAGAATTTTTTAAGCAAACAAATAGACAGACAGATAGACTGAAAAGACATAGACAAACAGACAAACAAATAGACAGATAGACAAACAGACCGACTCGAAGAAAGACTTTTAAGCAAGCATCCTTTCGATTCCAAAGATAATTATCAACCGCACAAACAAACAGACAGATTCACAGATATATGGGAGCGAGAGGTGAGAGAGAGAGAGAGAGAGAGAGAGAGAGAGAGAGAGAGAGAGAGAGAGAGAGAGAGAGAGAGAGAGAGAGAGAGAGAGACAGACAGACAGACAGACAGACAGACAGACAGACAGACAGACAGACAGGCAGTGAAAGAGAGAGAAAAGAGACAGACAGACGGATATACAAAAAGAAAGAAAAAGACTGATAGATAAAAAAACAACACACAGATAGAGAGAGAGAGGGGGGAAGGGAGGGGGGAGAGGGAGAGAGACAGACAGATAGACAGACAGACAGAGACTTTTAAGCATACTCTAGATTCCAAGGATATCTCCCGCCCGCACAAGCACATCCAGAACACTCACTCGCGCAGGTTAACCGAGATCCTTTTTCCCCTCCCGTTGCCATGACAACAAATGGATTATCTTGATGGCGGGACAATCTTGCCTTGAAGTTTTATCTACGTCATTACAAATACAAAAGTCTTTCTATGAGATTCGTTTATGTAAATGAAGTATACTGGAATTTGCTTTATACGCAAGGCGGGAAACGGTAAGCATACAATACAATAAATTTTCGTATTTTTGTGTCTGTGTTCTATTTCCTTACATTTTTTACGATTAAAAATACCACATATATACATCATATCTTCCACATAACGATGATAATGATGACTCTTTACACGAACAACTTGCACAAGAAACAATAAATCCTCATGGAGAAATAAACAGCATGAAATCCTGACCTACAGTAAGGCACAAATAACACATGGTATCTTCGCGCCGTGACGAACTGGCAACTGTATCATCCCAATGTACATTACGGGGTCGTTTGGTCTCGTTCAGATCAGTGGCTTTACTGCTCTAGGTGTGAAAGCATTGTTGTACGTGTGATATTGTAATTATTTTCTTATTATTCGTTGTATTATTTATGGGTTGTGATGTGTTGGTGGTTCTAGGAGTTGAAGTTTATTGATGGATTGTTTGAGGAGTTTTTAGTGAGTGGGAAGAATGTAGGATAGAAGGCGGGGGTGATAGAATGGTGGGCGTGTTTATTATTCTTGGTGGGAAATATATTGATTGATTATCTTTTATGGATGATGAAATTGTAATTGGCGATGTAAATAATTTACTGTCGTTTATCGACAGTTGCTATAACTACTTGTAAATTTGTTTTAATTTTGGTTAAGTTTTCACGTACTGCCCAGTTCATTTTCAAATATGCTTTTTCACAGTCTAGACATAAG